CATCCATTCTGATAGTTCTGTGCCTGTGCCTTTCTATTTTTAGGTGTGTTTAATTTTGTCTTTGCATACAGGAAGCATGGATGAACATGGCCAGGGAGAGAGTAAAAGGATGAAAGAACAAGGTGCCTACCATGGAGGATGCAAAAGAAATTTTTCCCCAAGGACTGTAGTCCCAGGTTAGGCATGCTCCAGCCAAACTTTTTCTCAGAGTTATCCCACTTCTCCTATATGCCAGGAATCTCATTAGGCCTGAAGCATGCAGAAAGGGGCATAATTAGTCTTTGTTCAATAGAAGATCATCTTCTGGAGGTGATGGGGCTTTACTTTAGGTCCATAGAACCCATTTACTAAAACCAAATTGTCACACTTCACACATTTCGGTGTCCTTTATTTCTAACTGGAATTGTACTTGACTAGCATTTTTGGAATAATTTTGTTGGCAGTAGTTCTTCTGAGTGAGTACTACAACAAAGTTGTATAAGTCTAACCATTTTAGAATCTACTCTAACCCGAATGTCAACTCCAACAAGAAAACCCCTAAAAGGAAAGAAACTGCTGCCAACTATTTGATGGTTTGACAAAGTGTGGCTGTTTTTCTAGGCTGTGATTTATTTAAATTTTGCAAGCCCTTATCATCTTGCAGGTTTTAGGCACTTTGGTGGTGATTCAGATAAGGTTAAATGAGTTGCTTCCAAAACACAAGACTCTTGGGTGGAAATACGGAAAGACTTAGCGCCAGGATTTCTGATCTTTGAACCAATGCTCTGCCTCAGAGTTATGGGATTCAGGAGGAATTATTTGACCTCTTTGACCTGGTTTCCTCATGGGAAACATTTTGTTGATGGTGATTTGCTTGCCTCATACAAGGAATCATGGAAAAAACAATGTTAAAAACTTTGAAAGTTCTGTTTCATTTTACACAATGATGCTAATTTCTTTTAAATTAACTTGAGGTTTTTTTTTTTCTTGCCATCTGCACAAGTAATTACCACTGGATAGCTAGATTGAATGTCCAGCTCTCACATTAGGTAGAGATGTTAAACACGCACGCACGCGCGTGCACACACACACACACACTCACACACATTCACACACCTCTGCCTATCATGAAGCACAACCATACTCATTTTAAAATTACATTTATTTTATTTTTTACTACATTTTTTGAGAATATGAGGACAGAGGTTAAGGGCTTGAACTTCCTTGTATCCCTCAGTAGTAAAACAAGACCCCTGGGGACATGTGTGCCTGTCACAGCCTGTACCCCACACCCAATGCTCAGACTTAAAGAAAATGAGAATGGCTTCTTCCATCACCCTTTTGACCTTCTTAAATAATACTAATGTTCATTTACAAGCTTTAAAATGGCAAAGAGGAACAATGAATATGCCAAAATATTGCTTTGTCTGTAGTTGTAAATGGTGAGCATGAAAGCAACACAAATAATAAATCTGGTTTCATATATTTTGTCTTGGTCACTGGAAAGTCAAAAGTCAATCTTGGCCCAAATTTCTCATCTACAAGATAGACTTGGAAGAGACAATTACTATTTTTTGCTATTCTTTTTTGAGCTAAATGTCTATGCATTGCTAGGAAATGTCAGGCTTTTTGGTCTTTATATGGTAATAATTTATTTAAAGACTTTAATTGAAATTAAAGAATATTACTTAAAGTTTTTTCCCATCTTGGTACTTTACAGTGTCAAAGAATGAAGAAGAAAGAAAATGCAAAAACAAACTATATGAAGCTGAATAAACTCAGTGTCGTGGCAAATGGCAAATGCCATGTTCTTTCCTTTTTCCTTTTTTTTTTTTTTTTTTTTTTTGAGACAGAGTCTTGCTCTGTAGCCCAGGCTGGAGTGGAGTGGGGTGATCACGGCTCATTGAAGCCTGGAACTCATGGATTCAAGTGATCCTCCAGTCTCAGCCTCCGGAGTAGCTGGGAGTACAGGCACACACCACCATGCCTGGCTAATTTTATATTTCGTAGAAACAGTTTCACTATGTTGCACAGACAGTGCATATGTTCTTTTCATATGTCCTTTCTTATTGAACACATAAACCAAGTACAAATTTACCAGATGTCATAGACATGTAAATGTGATTTCACTTTAACTATGAGCCATTGATTCCAGGGTATTGTGTTTTTTAGGATTTAGGTTTCACATTCTGATTTTATCTTCAGGAATTAATTGATTTATACACTATATCACAAAATACATAGAACCTATGGTCAAATATCAGAATTGATATTCTCTGAACTGAGTTACATTGGAGAAAATCTCAGAGCTTTACGTAATGGCTCTGTTGCAAATTTACAGTCTTAAAGCTCAGCAGAGCACTTTAGACTGCTTATAAATTATGGAGAGTTGGGAAGAATATTTGAAATCTGGACTATCCTAGAATAGCTGGGAAGAAGTTTAAGGTTCAATGTAGGGTGGGAGGAAGAGACAGCTGTCAAAAATTCTAGCTTGGGTAACTGAGACAGAAGATGCCAGAAGATGAGGTATTTTTAGAGGAAGGATGATGAGTCAATTTGGGACACACTGGATAGGAAGCACTTGTTGGACATCTAGATAGAGATGACCAGTTGAGAGTTATATAAAATGTGTAACTCAGAGAAGTGGTCTGGGCAGCCCTCAGAAAATGAACTTGACTTAAGCCATTTGAGGAAGAAAATGAACACAGTTTAACAGTTGCATGGAGCAGGGCTCCCCTGTGGGCACAAAATTAGAATGAAAATCATATGTAATTATTCCCTTAGCCTAGCCTACCATCGGAGCCACTGACTGCGGTGTGAGGTCTCTTTTAGTCTGGATTCTGAGTGCATAGTGGAACTTCAGAGGAGAGCAGTCTGCTCAATTCCTCTTTGGGCAGGAGAGGGCACAGAGTTAGCAGTGACCTGCAACCAAAGGATAGTTTCCTCACTGTAAGGAAAATTCTGGACAATAATATTAAATGATTGCTCACAGAAAGATAGATTTAAGTGCTCTGAAAACAATAACAGCAATGCTTTGGCTTGAAAAAAGGTAAACTCTTCCAAAATTAGAGAGATGTTTTATATAGACCAAAAAAGGTAGTGAGAGAAGCTGTCACACTGGCTGATAGTAATAACTGACATTGGGCATTGCTAGGTCTGGGAACTATGCTGAGTGCTTTATATATATTAACTCATTTAATTCTCACTAAACCCCGTGGAGTAGGTACTGTTATCATTTTATAGTATGAGGAAACTGACACCCAGAGATTTTAAATATTTTACCCAGGGTTAAACAACTAGTAAGGGGCAGAGCAAAGACTTGAATTTAGGCAATCTGGGTTCAGAGATCATGACCTTGTAATACACTTCCTGTGTTAAATCAAAACAACCCACTTTGGTTTCAACATACCACATGCAAGGTTCATACCAGTACAATTTGCGCCATAAATAGCGCAAATGCTATGAAAAGGCTGATAGATAATAGGAAGCTTTAATATCTATACTCATTTAATCCAGAGTTTTACTCCCCCTCACCATGGAGAAACTATGCAGCGCTATGAAAGAATGCTCAACAGTGTTTTGTTTTGTGTTTTTTTTTTTTCCAACTATCTCCTCTGCAGAACTCTGCTAATGACAGAATTTGCATACTAATGATAATTGCAACCAAGAAAGCTGTATTCTCTTTCTACTCGAGGCAATTGAATAAAGAAGTGCTGTGAGGCAATTATTGCAGTTAGTTATAGAAAATTCTCTGAAAAACAAGACCAAAACATATATACTCAAATTCAGTATGATTGCACTTATCAAAATTATTTGCTCCTTTTAAATCATCATAATAGAATTATTGCTCTGGGTTCTTTGACTGTATTAACCCAGTCCTCCCAATGGCTCTATTATTTAGGTTTACATTTTTCCATTTTATGGATGAGAAAAAAGAGAAGTTTAACTACGTGCCCAATAATTCAGGTATAAACTTTAAAAAGGTTATTAAGAGATCATTTAGATCATATTTCTATTCTCTTATTTTTATTCTATCTTTTGATTATTATAAAACTAATTATAAATGCTGCTAGACATACTTTGCTGTTATAATTTTACTACATATAATGGAACACTTTTACTCTACAATTTCAGTGCCCTTTTACTTGATTATGGCAAAATTCTTTGCTAATGACACCTGATTTTCTAATTATTCTAATGACACCTTAACATGCATGACTGTGTTGTTGGGTTACTTTTTCCATGGGAGTTTCACTAATTCCATTTACTTGCCAGTTGGTGTACTTCAACACTGTTAATTTATATTAGCATTAGAAACCCATTGAGAACACAAGTCAATACTCAATTCAAAACAAGGTGACTTTAATTTAATTTCTTTAGGTATAAGAAATCCTGAAATCTGAACCACGATAAAAAACTGCAGGATTGGAAACCTAGATTCAGGACAAGACAACCAAAATCATAAAGACTCCTTTACAACTTCATAGTTTGTGCAGTCTTAGCAAATAATATTATTTTCATGATCGGAAAGTGTATTTAAACTTTAATGTAAGGTTTTATTTTATTTTGTCTATTTTTTATTGGCCTTACAGACAAGATAATTTTATTCTTTTCTAGTTGCTTTAATGTCTTTCTTGTTTGATATTTTCTGTTTTTTTGTTCAGTTATCATGATTGTTATTTAGAAACAGACTTTTGAAGTGTGAGTCTTAAAGGTGACTAAGTTCAGAGCATAGCCAGTCCTCGTATTTATTGGTAATTGACTTTTTTTTTTTTTTTTCCTGATAGGGTCTTACCTGTTGCCCAGGCTACAGTGCAATAGTGAGATCACAGCTCACTGCTGCCCCAAACACTGGGCTCAAGGTGTCCTTCTCTCTCAGCCTCCTGAGTAGGTGGAACTATAGGCACGTTCCATCACACCCTGCTAATTTTCCTTTTTTCTTTTTTTAGATATGGAGTCTCACTATGCTGGCCCGACTGGTCTCAAACTTCTGGGCTCAAGCAATCCTCCCATCTGCCTCAATTTCCCAAAATGCTGGAATTACAGGCGTAAGTCATCACACCTGGCCAGTAATTGACTCTGAAAGTAATACACAAAGATTGGAAAGTGATCTAAGTTCTGAATTCAAATATTAACACATGCATTTTGCTATTTCTTTGTTTTTTAATTGCAGTAAGAACAAATAACATGAGATCTGTCTTCTTATCAAATTTGTAAGTATATACTAGAGTAATATTAACTACAGGTGCAATGTTGTACAGCATTTGTTCTACATGATGTTCTACAGGTGTCTGTAGAACTTATTCTTCTTACCTAACTCAAACTATGCCTGCTAAATGACAAATACCCATTTTCCTCTCATCCAGCCTCCAGCAACCACTATCCTACTTTCTGTTTCTGCCACTTTTACTAAATTAAACTCCATGTATAAGTGGAATCACATAATATTTGTCCTTCTGTGACTAGCTTACTTTACTTAGCATAATGTCCTCAATGTTCATTCATGCTTTCTTATATAGCAGGATTTCTTTGTTTATTATGGTTAGATTATATTCCATTACATGTTTATAACACATTTTCTTTATCCATTCATCTCTCAATGGAAATTTTGGTCATTTCCACATTATGGCTATTGTGAATAATCATTCAAAAGAACAGAATAGGGAGCCAAGAAGGAAACTCATGCTTATATGGTCAATTGGTGTTTGGCAAGGGTCCAAGAATACTCAATGGGAAAAAGAGAGTCTCTTTAATTAATGATGTTAGGAAAACTGAATATCCAATGCAAAATAAGAAAATTGAACACTCCTCTCACACCATACATAAAAATCAACTCCAAGTAGGTTAAAAATTAAAAGTAAGACCTAAAACTGTAAAACGCGTAGTAGAAAACAAAGCTTCATGACATTTGTCTCAGCAATTATTTTATGGGTATGACACCAGAAGCATAAACAACAAAATGAAAAATAGACAAGTGTGATTACATAAAACTAAAAAGTTTTGCAAAGCAAAAGAAATAACAGAGTGAAAAGTCAACCTATGAAATGGGAGAAAACAATTATAAACTATATATCTGATAAAAGATTAATTTCCAAAATATATAAGGAACAACTTAATAGCAAAAAGGCAAATAAGTCAATTAGAAAGTGGACAAAGGACTTGAATAGACATTTCCCCCAAAATGATGTAAAAGTGACTAACAGGTATATGAAAAAGATATTCCCACTAATAGTTAACTATTCTCACTAATAGTTAACTATTCCCACTAATAGTAAAGCATCACTCCGCCGCACACGGTGGCTCACGCCTGTAATCCCAGCACCTTGGGAGGCTGAGGGGGGTGGATCATGAGGTCAGGAGATCGAGACCATCCTGGCTAACAGGGTGAAACCCTGTCTCCACTAAAAATAAGAAAAAATTAGCCGGGCTTGTTGGTGGGAGCCTGTAGTCCCAGCTACTGGGGAGGCTGAGGCTGGAAAATGGCATGAACCCGGGAGGCAGAGCTTGCAGTGAGCCTAGATCATGCCACTGCACTCCAGCCTGGGTGACAGAGCGAGACTCCATCTCAAAAAAAAAACATAAAATAAAGATATCATCACTCAACATCATTACTCATCAGGGAAACATAAATCAAAACCACAATGAGATATTGTTGCATAACTGTTAGAATGGCTATTATATAATTTTTAAAAAACTGGTGTTGACAAGGATGTGGAGAAATTGGAAGACTTGTAGACTGTTGGTGGGAAAATCAAATGGTGCAGCCACTATGAAAAATAATTTAGAAGTTCCTCAAGAAGTTAAAGATAGAACTATCATATAATCCAGCAACCCCACTTCTGTATGTTTGTGCAATTGAATTAAAATCAAGATCCTGAAGAGATATATGCACTCCCATGTTTATTGCAGCATTAATCACAATAGCCAAGACATGGATTTGAAAGTTATTAATATGTCAGACAAATTGTCCAAAAGGAGCTTTGCTCGGTAAAGAAACAAAGGGAGAAGGGTGGAATTTGTGTTTCTCAAGTTACTTCAATTTTAACTATTACAGTGTTTTGAAATTTCTCCAGTGTAAACATGTATTAAACACAAATATAACAGCCAACAAGTTTGACGGAGAGTTAACCAACTTTAACTCAAAGCATCATTTTCAAATGCCTCCTCTACAGTGTTCTTTCTAGTGAAGTAAATGTTTGGTTATATGAAGAGGTCCTTTAGTGATAAACTTTTACAATAAACATGAGTAATCTACGTAATCAAATAACTGTTGAAGAGTCAGGCTTCTAATTTCATAATATTACAAAAGTAAATGTTGATGTCCTAAATTGTACTCAGGTTTTGTTCAAATATGAGAGAAGAACTTATAATGTAATGGAGAGAATTATTGGTCCTGTATAGATGATCTGAGGAAACAAGATGGAGACTGCCACAGCAGCAGGATACTAAGGAAATTAACTCAATCTTAGCAGAGAGTTCTAGTTGTCTCTTCAGCATTCATGACCCTCCACTGTCCTTCTTAAGAAGAGAAATCAATTTTTAACTGAGTTCCTTGTCAGCTAATGGTCATATGACTATGTTCTGACCAACAAGATACAAGTGGACATGTATGAGACTTCTGGAAAACTGTTTATAGAGAATCTACTTCTAGAAGGAACATATTTTTAATTCTCTTAGCTTTCTTCTACTTAATCTGCAACTCAGATATGAGAGCTCAAGTTTCAGCAGCCATCCTGGTCCATGAGGAGATTTTGAGGGTGAGAACTATGTGGAGGGATGGAGGGGGAGAATGATTGGCACTAATCTACTAGCTCTGAACAACCTATTTCCAGACTTACTGTGTAATGTGACATTTTTACCTGGATGGCACTGTTTGTGCAGTTATTTAAATATTTTATTACTTTCCACTCTCTTTACTTAGAAAGTTCTAAAACATGAACAAATGAAAATGTGATACAAATGATAAAACAATACAATTGACACAGTTCTAGGAAGAAGCAAATTCTTAGCTTTAGTTGTCTACCCTTTAGATTTATGTCATCCAATTGTCTGCTTAATTATGAAAGAAAATAAACATGTATAAATGGTAAACACAAATATATATGCAGTGCTTAAACATATTTTTGAATATGTTTAAAATCGTTTATAAGGAGTAGTTTATCCTTTGACTTTTTATATGGAGTTTTTCATAGAAATTTTTAAGAATTAATTATAAATGAAAGCAGAAAACTCCTGTAGTTACTTCGGGAATTTCATGCTTTATAATGATGGTGTGACACTCAAAACAATTTTGAACATTTCTTCAAAATTAAAAGAATAGTTTGTGAAAACTTGTAAGTGGTGACAAATACTCGTTCTTTAGAGTGGATTTGACTTGAGAACCAGCCTTCAGTCACAGATCAAAGAGGAATGTTACTGAAGAAATCAGACAAGTTTGGTCACAAAAGTATGCACCTGCATGTCTTGTAAAAGAGCTCTGAAATTGCCATGAGAAAAAAAAAGCATTTTTTGAAATTAGTGTCTGGCTTCCAAAGTGAGTCTTGTGAAGGAATATTCATTTGGTTGTATAATTTACAAGCACAGTGTGATTTCCAGATGCAGTTTAGTAAGTTTCATTTTTTAAAAACAGGCTTTTGTAATGCAACTTTTTTCCTCCTGTCCCATTGCAATGTCTTTATTTATTTATTTATTTATTTATTTATTTATTTATTTTTGAGAGGGGGTCTTGCTCTGTCGCCCAGGCTGGAGTGCAGTGGCACCATCTTGGCTCACTGCAAGCTCCACCTCCGGAGTTCATGCCGTTCTCCTGCCTCAGCCTCCCGAGTAGCTGGGACTACAGGTGCCCGCCACCATACCTGGCTAATTTTTTGTATTTTTAGTAGAGACGGGATTTCACCGTGTTAGCCAGGATGATGTCGATCTCCTGACCTCATGATCTGCCTGTGTCAGCCTCCCAAAGTGCTAGGATTACAGGTGTGAGCCACTGCACCCAGCCTGCAATGTCTTTATCTATAGCTTCCCACACCTCCAAGATTTTCCCACATTTAGTGTTCAGCATATCCGAGTTACTGGCCAAGGGTAGCAACTACAGAAGAGCTGTCAGCATCGCAAACTTATGAGGACTTCAAAATGTCATTGCTTAGTAGACCCCTGCTCTCTCTACTTGTTCTCTCTCAGAATCAATTTGACTTAGGATCCAAGATTTCTAAGATAGCCACCAAGGAATCATTCTGCCTAGATTCATAGTTCTTTTGGTTCTCTCCAAAATTAACTTATTCCATGGGGTCATATATCATCTTTGGTCCCTATTCCTAAGTTTTACAACTTTCTATTTGCCCCTCTGGATCTTTGACTTCTGTGAATAAAGATACCATTGTCCCTTTATATTCATGGCAGTGAAGCCTGAGTTGTTCCCATAGCCAAGAGATACACTGACCATATAATTCAAAATCCTAACGGCATTTATTCTCCTGGAAATATGACTGAGTCTCTTGTTTCAACTCTCTCTGTCTGTCCCATGATGGTTTGAGGTAAAAAGAGTTTGTTTCCTCCTGTCTATACGATCTTTTCTTCACTGATAGTTGTTCACGTTAAAAAGTCTGTGGCTTTCTTTAGAAACAAAATAAAATCCAAATTTCTTAACGAACTCCACATAACCCTACATGAAGTGGTCCTTGTGTTACCAAAACACATTTGGTCTAGTTCCTGCTGCTCGCTGCAGAGAAAGCCAATCACTGAGATGATGAGTATTGCCAAGGAAGAAGGCTTTAATTGGGTGCTGCAGCCCAGGAGATGGGAGATCAGTCTCTAATCCACCTCCTGACCCACCAATAGTAGGAGTTTAAACAGCAAGGAAGAAATGTAACAATGTATAAGAAAGCGGGAACTAGGAAGGGGCAAGGAATCAGTCATGATGAGTGAGGGGTTGGCAACTCATTATCTGGATGTGGTGATCTGGTGAGTCTCAGTTGTTTGATACTTCTTGAGATTCCTGGGGACCCTTTCCTGAGGAAAGAATTCAGATAAAATAAATATAAGTTTTAAGCTTTAAGAACAGAAGGGTCAATTTCTATGTTTATCAGAAAGAAAAAAAAAAAAACTATTCTGTGGGACTATTGGATGGGTTTCACTTTCCTATCACTTCAACCTTAAGTTCCTCCATCCTCCCTCTTAGTCCCTAAACTCCATGTATTCTGGCCTTCTTTCTGCTGCTAAACACACCAAGTTTGTTCATAATTTTCATGTTCTGTACTCACTGTGCCTTCTGTTGGAAATGTCTGATTTTCAGATCTTCTCTTAGCTGCCTCTTCTTAGGATTCAGATTCCAAGTCTCACCTTCTCTAAACATTGTAGGTAAAGTAGTTACCGATCCTGCCCTCTCATTTTTCATCTTCTTTCTTCACATAAACCAGAGGCAGCTGGACACTTTAAAATGTTTTTTTCCCAAGTTTTTATGGCCTGCTCCTTTGTTAGAATTTGTCTGTAAATGATAACACCAGCTTTTTTTCTTCCTCCTGTTTCTGGATTTGTCTTGATTTTTAAATTCTTTCTTGGCTTTGTAAGTTAAGCGCCTGAGCTTAACTGTCTGGGTCTTGAAATTTGGACAACTTCCTTGAATTCTGAACTACATAGTTTTATAAACATTGCGTGGGATTGTTTATTTGGTTGGTGTGAGCAATCAGTCTATACCACAGCTCTTTAAGTAAGCACTAGGCCTCTTTCCACTTATCCCCCTCTGAGCACCACCATGTAGCCCCACAATTAGGAAGCAAGATTTGACAAAGCCTTAGGTGTCCTCTAACAACCTTCTTACTAAATGCAAGAAATTTCTGTCACTTCCTGGTAAGTAGATATCCAGCTTCTTCATGAATGACTGATAACATGGAGTCCACTATTTTACTAGACAGGTCATATCAACTACATAAAATTCTAAGACTCCTTAGAGACTTCTTTCTTATATTTATCTTAAAATGTTTCCTGGAAACCTCTACAGAATAGTTCAAATTTTACATTCTAGATGACACAAAATAATTATTCACCATGTGCTAGCTACATGACCTGGTTAAGAATGGTCACAATCTAGGCATAGATTTGAGGAGCTGTGGATAAACCTAGCTATCAAAACCAAAAAACTATGGCAAGATCACTAATATCACAGTGTGGCAATCAAGTGATCAAGAAGGCACATGCTTCTTTCTTCACGATGCCTACTAATACCATTTATTTTCCACTGAGAATCCAGGAATATATAACACCTCTACCCCTGAAAGGACAGAGTTTTCCAAGAATTGTTGAAGGGTAAAAGGGAAACATAAAGCTTTAAGTCTTTCTAAAGATAATTTATGATGCCCTCAAAACCTGCTTTCTTGTGCAAACAAATCCCAGGATAATTTCTGTGTTTTCTAGGGAGCTTTACAGACTTGTGCCTCAGTTGTCTCTGATCAATGTTCCCCAACAAGTTCCCAAACAATTATTATTTTTTTTTTCTGGCTGAGTTCTCACAATATAGCTCTTGAATATCTCTGCTTTGGAAAAATTGAACATCTGTAGCTCTCCTCCCTATTCCATTACCATGACATTTATTGAGTGCTAAAATGTACAAGATTGTATTTGTCTCTGTGGTGTTAGGGCCCATACGCTGGTAGTCTTTATCCTTTTTCTTCTTTGAAGGTGTCCCTCCTTCACAGGGCTCACTGAAATGTAGAACAGGTATTGTAAGTTCATGTGCATGACTATTTTTATCTCAGAGGGAAGGATTGTGGTATACACTTTATACACAAGAGATAAATTATAGACACACAGTCTCTGGTTTCTCACTTAGCTTAAGCAGGTTTACACATGTTAAAGAGTATCTTCTAGGCATGTTCTCCCTCTAACTCCAATCATTGATTCCTCGATTTCATTTTCTTGCTATTTCACTGGGACATTTCACCTGGTAGGACAAGACTTAATTTTTCTTTTAGTACCCTTTAAGTCCTGGAACAAAGTTCTCTCAGGGGCTTGAAATCCAAATTTCAGAGGGAAACTGCTTTCCATAGTCATCTAAACAGTTGGCAAAGATACAGTCCTGTGATCTTTCCACTTACAATTTTACTACTAGTTTTCCCTTTGTTTAAGAAATAACAATCTGATCATCATTCTTTATCACCTACATCTAGATTCAGGCATCATATTCTGAAAATCCTCCATCTCCTATCTCATGTCCATTCTTCTTTTTGCTTTTCTTTACTACAAAACAGTTAATTTCTTGGGACAGTAATTTTGCCTTGGTATTTTCGAATTCCTGTCCATAGAACAGAGAGAAAGTGAATAAATGCCCATCTAAAAGCTCTCAAATGCTTGTGCTGCATCTGTACCTTCTAACATTAGCATCTTCTTCCAAAATTACCATAGGAATCCTTGAAGCCTCATCTTTGAGGAAACCATTTGCATTAATAGCAAGGTACATGCATGCTTATCTTTATTATCATTTATCATTATTATTATTGTTATTATTATTTGAGACAGAGTCTTGCTCTGTCACCCAGGCTGGAGTGCAGTGGTGTGATCTCAGCTCACTGCAACCTCTGCCTCCCAGGTTCAAGCGTTTCTCCTGCCTCAGCCTCCCATGTAACTGGGATTTCAGGTATACACCACTGCACCCGGCTAATTTTTGTATTTTCAGTAGAGACAGGGTTTCACCATGTTGACCAGGCTGGTCTCAAACTCCTGACCTCAGGTGATCTGCCCACTTCAGCCTCCAAAGGGCTGGGATTACAGGTGTGAGCCACCATGCCTGGCTACATGCATGCATGTCAATTGTCAATAGACGATTGTTTTGTCTGGTTTGATGTGGTCCACTTCCACCGAGACATCTCTATCTCAATTATGATGCAGGTCCTTTGGATCCAGCCTGATGGAATGTCCTCCCTTTCCTTCTCTTTCTCCTATATCAACTGTATACATTAGCATGCATACAATTCCATAGTCCAAAACATTAAAATAAACTAGGAAAAAAAATGTTAAGTAATGTTTCCCTTCAAGAGTCTAAAGAATTAGAACAGTTCCTAGGTAACCCACAACAGATTAGCCCCAGGATATCTGAACAAAAATCTTTATATTACAGGAACTAAAAATCAGTGGTTGAGTTTATTATATACCAAAGGTCTGCATCTTGTCACTTGAGACAATTCACAAGGAGAACAGAAATTTGAAAGAATAAACCTGACTAAGCCAGAAGCATTTTCCACCAGGTGTCAACACGTTTCCCATCTGTTGGGGATAAGGAAAGCTTTGTATCTGCTCCATCTCTGTACTCTTCCCTTCTTCAGACAACGGGACAAAACTTAACATTGTTGCTAAAGCAATTTTTATTTTGACAGCTTTAGCATTTCATCATTTTGCCTTTGTTTCAATGGAAAAAAGTTCTCCCACGCTCTTCACTGGAGATGACTTTCTTACTAAGCCAAAGCTTTTGCCTCTTCTTACATAACAAATGTGTACACAACCCACCTGCTTCTGGGTTACTTTCCATCTGTTCATCAAGACAAACCCTATTACATATGAAAACAACGTTTTTCCTTTTTATGGACATTATGTCTCCATGTAAATTGAATTTGTAATCAAGTTGGGTCTTCTTTTTAGACAACAAAAATATTGCAGGAACTTCATGACAATTGATTTACAGAATATCCTGGTTAGACAGGATATTTGTCTTATGTATAGTGAAATATTTTTATAGACAATGGATAATTTTGATTTTAAAATAATCACTTGGGCTGTCAATTCGGCGAAAAAAGCCGTCTCTTCCTTCAGCAGAAGCCAAGTGGAATTGCAAGTCATACGAACCTTAGGATGTCAGAGCAACTGAGACACTGGGGATCGTCTAGTGTGTTCCCAGCTTTGGACCTCTTTGAGAATTTGAAAAGAAAGCTATAAACCCTCCTCGGAAAAAGTATACATGCATTCAGAATGTTCATACTGTATCAGGGGCCTTTTGTTCTTCTGGGCCAAAAATCATAACCCAGGTAAGGAACACTTGATTTAGTCCAACTCTTTCATTTTGATAACAAACTGAATCTCATAGAAGCCAACTGATTAACTTAAGATTCTATTTAAGCCTACAAATTATATTATCTATTAACAGAACAATTTTTTTCTTACCATAATAGACTATGTTTTGTTGTCTTTCAAGTATATTTGAATTTATTTCTGCTTATTTTATTGATGAATACATTATAATAACATTAAACTCAATCACTTACTTTTATAGGTAAGGAAACCATATCCCCAGAGGTTAACTGGTCTAAAAATCAATTTCCTAAGGAGAAATATTCAGAATATTTCCAAATTTCTTTTATTTTGCCCTTTATGTGTCAATGATCTTGGAACTTGAACAGGTGTGTACTATCATTATCACATTTGTAATTTTATTTTATTATCAAGAATTTAAAGAGACAATAAAACCGCCAAATTGATTTCTCCAAAGGCAGCATTGACTTTTCTCTGAAGTTGTGTATTTTATTTTTTACTATTGGATTACATAAAATATTAGAGGAAAAAAGCATTTGGAAAAATACTAAAAGAAAAATGAAGTGGTAATTACAATGTACCCAGTCTTTTTCTGTTTCCTTCTGCACATAGTCTAATTCCTATCTTTCTAACATGAGATTGTTGAGTGATTTAAAATCATGTTAATCATTTTAATGTTCTCAGTTGTAGGGGAAAATGAAATAGCTAAATTTATGCTAAAAATAAACCTTGCAGATTTGCTGGATTGCACGACGTTTGAGTGTAAACAACTGTCGTCCCTCTTGGAAAGCTAATCCTGCCTGGTTTTGACTTTCCTAAGGGAGTGTTCTAACAGGTTTTTAAAGCTGCATGTTGAATAATTGTTTCCACAACTAGCACAGATTGGTTTTCTCAAAAGAAAAAATGAAAATGAAAGTTTCATCCAATTAAAATAGGACTATTAATAGCATATTGTGTGGGAAAGGAGAAGCCTGCTCCTCAAAGGCCTGTGCAGTTCATCACAGAAACACAAATTTTCACAGCAACTGAAAGAGCTGGGTGAAAGTTTAAGATTTTATGAAGAAATAGAAAAGCAAATGATTTCGCTTTCTTTAGTTGGCACAAGTGAGAGTATTAACATCCCTGCCAGAGAGGAGTAGGTGCCTTCACATTGGCTCCACCAACTTCACAGTGCACAGAAGATGGTTCAGCAGAGAAAGCTCCAAATTCACTTGACCTTTAGGTTATTTATACCCTACTGTCAACAGGAGGCAAGGTTAGCACCATATCATAGGGTATCAACCTTAAGAATGCCCTTAACTCTGTTCCCTGATCTGGCAGATCATCCTTTCGTTAAATAATTCCACATTTTTTGAGGAAAAACACTTTAAAATTTTGGATTGTTAGACAATCTAGTCATTTAGTATGTTTTATCCCAAATCAAGAAAAATACATTTGTGAATTTATATTCAAAGTTTAAGACTTGGGATTTCAATAAATGGCTGTTGATGCCATCATGAGTCAGCGTATTTCTATTCCAGCGGCCCACTTTCCATACTGTTTGATGCCAAAGACCAAGGGTCCAAGAAGGACAGATACACCAATATGAATTCAAACATTGTGCTAAGTGAAGAATTCTGGAAATCGCTTTTCTCACATGTAGCCCCATAACCACCTGTGTATTATGTGATTCCATTATATAAAATTAGAAATCAACAAAATTAATCTAGACTATTAGAAGTCAAAACACCATTTACTTTTGGGGAAGAGTGGAGTATGAGGAAGCTTACGGCACGCTGACAACATTCCTATGTTTGATCTAAATGGTGATTTACATGGATTTGATTGCTTTGTGATAATTCTGAACTATGCACATAGATGTGTATACTTCTCTGTTGTGTGTTACTACATATAATAAGCAAATAAGAAAATCCATGTTAAGGATTCTATCACCAATTTTTTACAAATTATCCTGCCAGGCACCGTGGCTCACACCTGTAATCCCAGCACTTTGGGAGGCGGAGGCAGGGAGATCAGGAGGTCAGAAGATTGAGACCATCTTGACTAACACAGTGAAAGCCCGTCTCTACTAAAAAGTACAAAAAATTACCCGGGCTTGGTGGCGGGCGCCTGTAGTCCCAGCAACTTGGGAGACTGAGGCAGGAGAATGGCGTAAACCCAAGAGGCGGAGCTTGCAGTGAGCTGACATCCCGCCACTGCACTCCAGCCTGGGTGACAGAGCGAGACTCCATCTCAAAAAATAATAATAATAAAATAAATAATAAATAAATAAATAAATAAATATCCTAAACAAATGCAGAGATAAACAAATGTTCATGATTGGTAAAATTTAACATTGTAGGATGCCATTCTTCTCAAATTAACTTATGAATTCAGTACATTTTCTTTTTCTTTTTTTTTCTTTCTTTCTTTTTTTTTTTTTTTTTTGACAGAGTCTCGCACTATCCCCAGGCTGGAGGCAGTGGTGTGATCTCGGCTCACTAAAAGCTTTGTCTTCCAGGTTCAAGCCATTCTTCTGCCTCAGCCTCCCGAGTAGCTGGGACTACAGGCACCAGCCACCACGCCTGGCTTTTTTTTTTTTATTTTTTTGTATTTTTAGTAGAGATGGGGTTTCACCATGTTAGCCAGCATGGTTTTGATCTCCTGACCTCGTGATCCACCCACTTCAGCCTCCTAAAGTGCTGGGATTACAGGCGTGAACCACTGCGCCCGGCCGAATTCAGTACATTTTTTGACAACATTTCAGGAGAAGTTTTTGAGGAACTGAGCAAACTGATTCGAAGATCATATGGGCAAACAAAGGTCTGTGAGAAACAAAGATTACAAATAAGAAGAGCGAAGAAAGAAAGAGACTCAACCTAAGGTGTATGAAGACATGTCACAAGTCATTTTAATGATACAAAATAAAGTAGAATACGTAGTATGGTTCCCACATGGAAACAAAAAGACCAGTGGAATGCAATATTGAGGCACAAACAAAGTATCATTTGGATCGAAAGTTGGAGCATAATAGAGGTGAAATAAATCTGTTATCATTGACAGAAATAAAAAGAGTATTTAAAAGTGGATAATTGTATGAGATTTTATTATATGGAGAAAAACTAAGTTGCACAAAATATAAACAAAAATAAACCCTAGATGTCCTAAACTTGATAGCTAAAATTAAAAGGCTACTAGAATAAAGGAGGATATATTTGTAATAGATAGTTGGGAAATCTGTCACTGAGAAAAAGGGGAAATGAAATAGAAAAATCAGTCAAATCTCTACATAGATAGTACCAAAGGGGAAGTGAGTGGCTAACAAGGGTACAAAATGGTGAATACCACCAACAGTAGCCAGAGTAGTTAAATACTCCTTTTTTACTCTTGACTCCTAAAATTATACAAATGTAGATAGTTAAATTATAGTAAAATTCAGCAATTACAGAAGGAAAGGGGAATCCTCAGGCATGTCTGGTGAGAATGCAGACTGAAACATTTTGGATCTCAATCCAGCATTCCTTAATGAAAAGAGTGGTGTCTACTCAATGACAAATATGTTGAGAAAGCAATTTCTCACATCTCTTAAGGATATGACTATATCCTAGAGCATTCATTAAACACATTTGCAAGGATGAAGAGAAAAATAAGAGAGACAGGCCTTATGAAGACCACTAATACCAGTGTGCCTTTAATTGAAGAGTACAATGAACTCCAGTTTCTGCATCTTAAGTGCAACTGAGAAAGGGGAAAAAGTAGAAAGAAAAAGAAACCCTATTTATAGGCCGGGTGCGGTAGCTCACGCCTGTAATCCCAGCACTTTGCGAGGCCGAGATGGGCGGATCACGCGGTCAGGAGACAGAGACCGTCCTGGCTAACACGGTGAAACCCCGTCTCTACTAAAAATACAAAAAAATTAGCTGGGCGTGGTGGCAGGCGCCTGTAGTCCCAGCTACTCGGGAGACTGAGGCAGGAGAATGGCGTGAACCTGGGAGGCGGAGCTTGCAGTGAGCCGAGATCCCACCACTGCACTCCAGCCTGGGCGACAGAGCGAGACTCTGTCTCCAGAAAAGAAAAGAAAAAAAAAAAAAATATATATATATATATATATATTTTATATATATATGCATTCTTATTTGTCAATTATTTTCCCACAGAGACAATTTCTATTTAAATAGAAATCAAATCAAAATAATGATGATTTTATTCTATTCTATGTTTCTCCAAGGGAGAACAAACTCTTAACATCTGCATGAACTAACTGGTAATTTTCCCTATACACACAAAGCTGCAAAAAATTTTAAACAATCTTATAGCTCTTAGGATCCGGCTTTTAACCTCCTTTTCTCCAGGTGGCATTATTGCATAGTGGTCATGGGGCAGGCAATAAAGTCTTAATTTTCCCAGCTGTGGTAGTTTAGGCAATTTATTCTGTTTCTCAATTTAATAGCTACGAAATAAACATAATTGTATCTACTATATAAAATTGAAGGAAAAATTAAATCAAAGCATTTATGTACAGGCTTGGCATATCAACCACTACATTTAGATCTTGCTAAGAATGCCTTTACTTCCTGAATTCTTCCTAGTACTCTACCTGTCCTGGGTGGATTTATTTATTGTTACCATCATGAATCATGCAGACCTCCAAGTTTCTCTTCTTACTTGAAACAATCTTTCTTCATCTACTCTTCAAAGTTTTTCTTTTTTCTTTTTTTTTCTTTCTATCTCTCGTACTTCCTAAAATTTATCTTTTCCAGGCAGGCGTTTTGAAAACCAAATGAAGAAAAACTTTGCAGTGTTAGTTAATTTTTAGCAAAAAATAAAAGTGAAAAATGTTTTCTGACCATAGCATACTTTTATTATCAGTATAACAACACGGTAGTGGTTGAGTAAATGCAGCCAGCTCTTACTAGGAAATGCAAGGATTCCAGAAGCAGATAAGTTTCATTGCAAAAAAAAACAAAAAACAAAAAAACAAAAACAAAAACAAAAAAACCCATAAATGTTCTTTAATCTGGGAAGTATCTACATAAAACAATAGCCCAAATTTTTTTGGTCATTTTGTACAGTCACCTAATATTTCAAAATTAAAGTAGGGAGGGAAAAAAACCTCATAAACGAGTTG